GGGTACTTTCAGGAGTTGCTCCAAATATGACAGCTCTAAAGCTTTTAGTTCTCCAGATATGACTTTTTTTGTATTATATCAAAAAAAAATTCCGAAAACTTAAATTAAACCTCTTCATTCAAAATCTGAAAATCCTAACCTGTAGTTGAGGGCTGTCAGAGTAATCTCAGGGGTAGTGAATTTTGCTTCAAATTGAGAATGCCCAAGCTTTCCACTCTACGAGATACGATGATTTTTGTAATTTTTTTCAGAAATCTTCAGAAAACTCAAATTAAAAAAATTCACAAAATTGAGATTCCCAATCCTGTAGTTTTTTGTAGTTTTCGAGATATGACTTTTTTAGGATTTTTAAAATTTTTCAGAAAACTGAACTAAAAAAATTTCGCAAAACTTAAAATACCATTTCTGTAGTGAGGCTCTCTCAGGGTACTCTCAGGAGTTGCGAATTTTGCCTCCCAGTTTCACTGGTCAAATCCTCGCAGTTTTCGAGACATGACGTTTTTTTGGATTTTTTCCAACTTTTAGATATTAAAAATTTTAGATAATAAAAATTTCACAAAATTTGAAATACCATCTCTGTAGTGAGGCTCTGTCAGAGTACTCTCAGGAGTTGCGAATATCGCCGCCTAATATGACTTCTCAAATCCTTGTAGTTTTCGAGATATGACGTTTATATGATTTTATCCAAAATTTAAAAAAAACTTAAATGTTAAAAAATTTCAAAACTTTGAAGATCTTAATCCTGTTATTGGAATCTGTGAGGGTAATCTCAGGGGGTTGCGAATCTTGACCTCTGAATGTGTCTGCTCAAAGCCTTGCAGTTTTCGAGATATGACGTTTTTTTGGTTTTTTTTTCTCAAAATTTTTCAGAAATTTTAGATATTAAAAATTTCACAAAATTTGAAATACCATCTCTGTAGTGAGGCTCTGTCAGAGTACTCTCAGGGGTTGCGAATCTTGCCTTTGATTATGGCTTCTCAAACCCTTGTAGTTTTCGAGATATGACGTTTATTATGATTTTATCCAAAATTTTCAAAAAAACTTAAATGTTAAAAAATTCCAAAATTTTAAAGATCTCAATCCTGTTATTGGAATCTAAGAGGGTACTCTCAGGGAGTTGCGAATCATGCCTCTAAAATTGGCTGCTCACTTTCTTGTAGTTTTCGAGATATGGCTTTTTTAGGATTTTTAAAATTTTTCAGAAAACTTAACTAAAAAAAAATTCGCAAAACTTGAAATACCATCTCTGTAGTGAGGCTCTCTCAGGGTACTCTCAGGAGTTGCGAATTTTGCCTCCCAGTTTAACTGGTCAAATCCTCGCAGTTTTCGAGACATGACGTTTTTTTCGGATTTTTTTCCAACTTTTAGATATTAAAAGTTTTAGATAAGAAAAATTTCACAAAATTTTAAATACCATCTCTGTAGTGAGGCTCTGTCAGGGTACTCTCAAGAGTTGCGAATTTTGCCTCCCAGTTTGACTGCCCAAATCCTTGTAATTTTAAATATATGACGTGTTTTAGGATTTTTAAAATTTTTCAGAAAACTTAGGTATAAAAAAGTTCGCAAAACTTGAGATTATCATCTCTAGTGAGGCTCTATTAAAATAATTCGTTAAAATGAAATTCTCAACTCTGGAGATGAGAACCTTCAAATATTGCGAATATTGCCATCAAAAAAGACTGCTCAAATTTTAGTAGTTTTCGAGATGTGAATTTTTTCTGGTTTTCAAAAAAAATACCTCTTTTAGAAAACTTAAGGTGAAGTTTCGCAAAATTTGATTTTCCCAACGTTGTAGTTGGGTACTGTAAGAATATTTCCAGGAGTTGAAAATCTTGCGTCCAAAAGCGACTGTTCAATTGCGACTGCTTAATTGCTTTCAGTTTCCGAGATGTGACGTTTCTTAGTTCATTTTAAATTTTTCAAAGAACTTCACAAAATTTTATGGTTCTTTAAAAGTTGTTTAAAAAACTTGAATAAAAAACTTTGCAAAATTTTTAATTGCGAACCCTGTAGTTGAGTGCTGTCAGAGTACATTCGAAGAATAGTTTTTTGAGATGTTGAAACTTCGAAGCACCGGAGGTGCGGTACACGCTAGTATCATTTAAAGCCCTTTCGGTTGTGATTCGACAGGCATTTAAGTTTCCGCGGTGTGATTGAGTCTTGTACAAATGCGTAGAAAATTATTTAACAAGATTTAATCAACAAAGTTTGTCCTCAAAAAATGAATCTCAAAAAAAATGAAAAATTAAAAAAAAAGTTTTTAAGATTTTTTTCCTATGATTTGCACACTTTTAAAATTGTTTTAAGAACACTGTTGTTGCCAGAGAAGCGCTAAAGGAGTTTTTCAAAACAAGAAAAATAACGATTATTAATATATATTTTTAAAATTTACCACCAGCTGTGATTTTGAATTTTACTTTCATTTTTTGTCTGTTTTTTGTGTGTGAATGGTTTTGGCTTATTGTTCCGACCATTTGAGAAATGCGGAGGAACTTTATATGCTGGTGTGTTTTTTTTTTGTTTTCAGCGCAAGTTCAGCTACCACAAATAATCGCTAGAGTGAGCTGAGTGTTATATCATGTAAAAGCTCTTTCAGTCTTGATTCGAAAGGCATTAAATTTTTCAAAAAAACTCGCGGTGTGGAGAAAAACCGGTTTGAAGTTTCTAATTTTTCTAATTTCTTGTGAGCGATATGGCTGACAATAGTTCATTTTAACAGCTTAAAGTCTCACAGTTGCTTAATTTAAGTGGTAAAAGTATAGTTTTATTTGTCTTAAGTTAGTTTTGTTTTACTCGACTAAAGTTAGTTCACTCGACTCAAGTTAGTTTAGAATCGAAAAACTGCAGAAAAAATTGAAATATTTTCTGAAAATTTTGATGTTTTTTTAAATGTTTTGTTAACTCTTTTTTTCTTTTTCTACAAAAATTGTTTTCCATTTTGGTTATGTTACCATGAATCTCAAATTTGTCTATGCTCTAATTTTTTTGTTCAGATTCTTTTTATCACACAATGCAGAAAAAAAACTACTGAGGTTTTGAAAAAAAATTGTTGTATGTTTCTAAGACTATTGCAGGAACATTCTGTGCTACTTGCTTAGTTACCGGCTATTCTTGTTGTTCTGATCATTGCAACTGGGGAGGAACTTTGCATTCAGCCTGTTTTTTATTTATTTTTTTCCACGCAAAATCAGGTACCACACATAATGATCGGACTGTTTGAATGATATATCATATTAAAGCCTCAGTCGTGGTTTGAATCACATCAAAAAACTTCAAAAAAACTTCCCAGCATTGAGAAAAACCGGTTTGAATTTTTGTCTTATTTCGAGCGAATAAGGCGAGCGAGCAGTCTTATTTCAATTGCCTAAAGTCTTACAATAGCTTAATTTAAAACGTAAAAAGTTAGTTTTACGTGGGTAACCTTAGTTTGTTATGAGTATTTTAGCGCTTTTTTGGAAAGAAAAAAATGTTCGAATCGAATTTATAATCGAATTCTACTTTTTCGTTTTTCTAGTTGTTTTTCCACACAAATTGGTTTTCAGTTTTCATATTGCAGTATGGCTGTACGGAATGTACACGAATGTACCTAATCCTTAATAATTTTCAGCTCCTATCGCAAGACACCGAAAAAAATGACTATAATTGAAAAACTTTGTTGATTTTAAGACTATGGTCGGAGCATTCTGTGCCAGTTGCACAGTAACCGGGTATCCTTGTTTTATATTGCCTGAGTCTTATATTGCCTCAAAAATAGAATTTAATTTTTTCATACATATAAAGAGTGGTCGGGTTGGGGCGTCTTCGAGCTAACACTTGAGAGCTCTAATTTTGTTTAACAGCTATCATTTTACGCATTATGGCAATTTTGTTTTCGTGTTAACAGGCGTGCATTATGAGTGGCCGCTCGGAAATGTTTTTGAATGCTCAATTGTTACTTGTATTAGTGTTTCTCGACTGTGTTTCTTTGATAGTAATTCGAGTTAAACTTTTTTTAAGATATAGTGTTTAAACATTTGTTTCTAATTAAAATAGGAAACCATGTGAGATTTGTTGTCAAGATCTCCCTGAAGTAGTCATCTTGACTGCATTCTGCTGGCTAAAGCTTTTCTACTTACATTTTTTCTTTGTTTTGTTTTTAAATTGTTTTTTTTTCTAATTCTTTGGGCTTTGCTTGAATAAAAAAACACGAAGCGTTATTTCGTTATTGCCGGTTGCTGTGCAAGTAGTACAAAATGTTTCGACCACAATCATGAATTTTTTGTATTTTTTTCAAGGTCTTTCAAACTCGTAGAAAGTTATTAAACTAGGCTTAATTGACAAATTTAGCCCTCAAAAATTGAATCACAAACAAAAAATGAAAAAGTTTTGCTCATTTTTTTAAAATTGTTTTGCACAATTTTTAATTTTTTTCTATGAAAACTTTCATTGTCAGGGAAGCGCTAAAGGAATTTTCCAAAACTAGAAAAATCACGTTCTCTTAGCCTAAAAGCCTAAATTAATGTTACGTTCTGATATAGCGAACGTTGATCGATTTACCCGCTCGAAATTGAACGAAAACTCAATATCTTTCTCGACACTGGGACAACTTTTCGAAAGTTTTTTTTTTATGCCGTCGTCGAATCATGGCTGAAACTGCTTTAAAATGGTTTATCACTCTTTTGTTTTGATATAATGAATCAATTCAATATGCATATAGAAATTACTTTATTTGAGGCAAGTATCCTATTAATTGCAAGTATCGTATCGTATGGCGTTGTGGTGCATCGGTAGTGATGATGCCCGGCAATCATATGATTGCGGGTTCACATCGCACGTGCGCTGCAATTTACAAGGTGAGATCTTGTAAGATAGCCATAGCTTAGTTGACCCTAAATAGTTAGTTTTCGGGTTAGTTTTCTGGCTGGTTTTCTGGCTGGTTAACAAAAAACAATTGCCGGAAGAAGTTTATTAGTTTTTCCCATAAAGTGCGTTGTAACTTTAGGTTTTGAAATTTGCTACAGGTTCTGTTGAAAAATGAGCACCTTGTGAAAGTGCAGCTGATTGGGAGTCCCGAAATGAAGTCACCCACTGTGGGAACAGAGTGTATGTTGCACTTATTGAAGATGACAGAACAAATCTACCTCCTTACAGGTATGTCTGTTACTGCTTCAAGTGACACCACTTTTGGGACAAGGTTTGCTCAAACGCGCGTTCAAAACAATAAGTTGACAACCGATGTCAACAAATATCGCTAACATGTTTTTATATTAAGTAAAAAAATAATGGATTCCGTAAACAAAGAGGAAAAGGTTGTGGTAGTTCTGATTCTGGAAGTAGAAATAATACCACGTTTTTGGGTCGTTCGTTTTGTTAATTGTTTAACATAACAAAAACCTTTAAGTTTTTTCTTTCTTTCTTTGCGTCCCAATTTTTTGTACGTCCCATAATTTTTTCCAGTAACTAAAAGGCAAATGGTGCAATAAATTTCTAAGTCGATTTGATTTTCAGAATTCTTAGCAAATTATAAAGTCATTTTTTGGCTCATATTTCTCAAATTGATCAGTCTGATTAAGGAAGTGATTTTTTGACTTATCGATATTGTTGTGTGTTGGCGAAATGTTACCTTATTTTTGTTGGTTGCCACGCGTCAAACTCATTTAAGCATCTATAGTTTGAAAAGTAAGCATGAAAAGTAGTGTCCAATGCATTGAGGTTCCGTCTGGAGTCTCAATTGCAGTTGCTTTGGAAACTATTTTGAAGTCTCGATCGGCTGTGAACATGAGTGGTTCTACCTTTCCTACCTTTTAGCAAGCATATTTAATGAATAAGGAGCGATCAGATGAGTACATGGCGAAACAAGTTGCGACATATTAATGATAGTGAACGGACTAATTTGTTACCCATGTAAATTGCTACAGTGTTTTGTTTTCTAGTTCACCAAAATGGAAGACTGTTGGCTCGTGAAACTATCAATGTATCAGGTGAGAACATTCCTTCATTCACGTCTTCAATAGTCATATTTTCTACCATTTGAACCCAGTGTAGTGTTGGCGTTAGCAGGAACTGACAAGCTCCGTGATTGGTGGGACGGATATCGTGCAACCATGCTCAACTGTATTCATTTGGGTGCGTAACTAGTTCAAGTTTTCTGGTTGTAACTTTTGTAGTTGAGTTGTTTGTGAAATCTGCTCCGCAGCAGTGTTTGCTTAAAAACCTTATCAGTAGATAATGACTGTCGTTTTTTGTAATTCTTGCAGTTAGTAGTGTTGTGAAACTAGACTTTGAAGATATCGTTGTGTCTCAGACCACTGAACGTGGAGAGGAATATAGTTTGTGGACTTGATTTTTAAAAAAAAAATTTTCCGCTTGAAATCAGATATTGCAATAATCATCAGAATGGGTCGCAAAATATATCAAATTAAAGCCCTTTCAGTCGTGATTGAATGACATAGAATGGTTAATAGTAAAATTTTCTCATTGTCGAGAAAAAGGCTCTTAATTGTTTGTCTTTTAGTCTAATTTCGAGTGAGTAAAGGCTTCCTTAACATAAATTTTTTGAAATAAAATTATTTGATTTTTGTTTGTTTTGTTAGCCATTTTTCGAAGACAAATGTAGTCGATTGTGCATATTTTGCTTGTCGTTCCGACCATTTGAAAAATGAAGGTTTTTTATTCGGGTTTGTTTATTTTATTTATTTTTGTTTCCCTTGCAAAATCAGCTACGGCATTATCTTTGGAGTGAATTGAGTGGTATGTTTTGTTAAATCCCTTGCAGTCGTGATTTTAACATGAAAAATTTCTAAAAGTTGAGCAAAAGTGGTTCAAAATTTTTGGTTTTTGTAAAATTCGATCGAGTAAAGCGAGCGAGCAGGCTTACAATAGCTTATTTTAATTCCAACAACTCTATTGTGTCTGAGTTTGCGCCCATTTTGCATCCATAACTGAGAATGATAATGATTGAAAATGATAGTTCAACTTCTACGACTACGTCACAAACTGACCAGAACGGTCTGTGCTTTAGCTATTGGTGATTTTTCCTGGCTAAACTGGAATTGATCTTTCTTATTCAGTTCAAACTGAAAGATCACTTCCCAATTTTTGTTAAAATTAGCTGGTGAAACATGACCTTTAGTCATTGGTTCGAGCAACTTTGTGCGGGTGATTTACCATATATATTTGATCTGATCTGCGACTGGAATTATCACTCAAATCTCATTAATTCACTCCTTATTAATCAACCGTTTGTCGCTGCAATAACCTTGATAGGTCATGGGCCCAGATGCCCAATCACGAGTGAAAAGTCAGGAGTCAAGATTGACTGTTTGTTCAAACGAATAAGGAAAAAAGCTGAGATTTGCAGTGGAGTTGTGACAGTGAAAATTACAACTTTAAATATACAACTGATCAGTTAGACAACTGCGAGAGAAGCAGGCCAAAACTACTTGGAGATAGACGATTGATCAGACAGATCAGTGGAAAGATAGAAGAAGGGAAACACAACTAGTAGAGACAAGCAACTTTGACGACAGAAGCAGGGCAACACAACTTCTAGAGATAGACAACTCTGACGATAGAAGCAGGGAAACACAACAGAGAAGAAGAGAAGACGGTCAAAAGCTACACGAAGGGGCACTGAGTGAGCACAGCATTGGAAGAAAAACTACACTATTGATAGTGAAATAAAACTGAAACAAACTGATAAATTACATGTTTTATTTGTAAAAGTTGCTGATTTATAGTCAATTTTTGCGGAAGGATAAATTAATTCGTACGCGGTTGCTCGAATCCGACACAAAATCAATCCAAAGAATATATTGCAATTAAAAGAAAAAGAAACTGATACCCCAGAATAAAAACGAGTTTCTATTTTGCTAATATATATATTACCCAGTATGAAATCTGAGGAGGGACCTTAGCTTTGCTAAGTCGCTGATGTGTTTTTCAGTACGCACTCCGTTAGGTTCCAAATCAGGTTTAGGTAATCAAATATACTTGCATAGTTATATAAGCGGGCGATATTGATGTTTATAGAATATGATTTTGATGTAAGAGAAAACGGGGTCATTGAATTTTACCTAGGGCAATACTTAATTTTTTGAGTTTTGGATTGGAGCTTATTTTTTTTTGTGTGAGAATTAAGTCGAAAATAAGAACTTGGATTAGGAAAGAAATGTCGAAAACTGATAGGATAGTTTTTTCGGGAAAAGAAGAAGGTTTTTCCTACTTTGAAGAGCAATTCGAGGCACGAATTTTTCACTTGAAGTTAAACAAGATTTTAGATGAGACAGTTGATTATAGAAATTTTATGTAAAGTTTAACCCGAATGCAAGCAGTGATCAAAAACAAGCTGCGATAGATAAAGGAAAAGAGATTTTTGAAGAATTCAGTTGCATATCTGGTACGATCTTGTGCAGGCTCTACATAAGAAATCAGTTTTGTTTTTAAAACCATATAAAGGGAATGGTAGCAAAGCTTGGGATGTTTTACGGAAAAGGTTTAAGAGTTTTGAAAGACCCAGGCTGCAAAAACTAATCTCCGAACTTACAACTTTGAAAAAGAATAGCAATGAAACAGTGATAGATTATTTGACTAGAGCAGAGGAACAAGTGAGCAGAGGAACAAATAACTTAGAACACGTGAACGAAGGAGTGAGTGAAAAAATGTTAATATCAATTTTTTTTGAAAGAAATTTCAAAACAATTTGAAACTTTTTTACTATAGCTAAGTTTAGTAGAGATGAGAAAAGTTTAGATGAGTTGAAAAGAGATTTAGTGAATTTTGATAGCGAGAGACAAGTAATCGAAAAAGAGCATGCGAGAACAGAGTTTGTTTCAAGTGTCATAAAAGAGGACATGTGTCGAAACAGTGCAGAGAAAACTTAAACAGCAGACGAGATAGTGAAGATAGAGCTGGAAAAATTCAGTGATATGAGTGCAAGGAGTTTGGACATATTGCAAAATATTGCCAAGCAAAGAAAAAGTTCATTAGTAAGACTAAACGAGAACAGCAGAACCTAGTAGCTGAAACAGAGGCTCATTTTAGTTTCCTGAGTGGCGTGTCTCCGTGCGAGGACTTAGTTGTAGACTAAGGAGCTACCAATAATATGATTAAGGATCGAGACATGTTTGTTAGTTAGATGAGAACTTCAAAGGATCGGTTAGCAATGCCTTTTAGGGAAAGGCGAAGTTAGATTCAGAGTGAAAGATGAGAAAGGCGAGTTTAAGATGGTTGAGCTGAAGGATACTTTGTACGTTCCTGAAATTTGCTGAGTGTATCAAAAATGAAGAAAGCATGAGCAGAAGTTGTTTTTGGTGCGAGCTCTTTTGTTCGCCAGGGAAATGGATCAGTTTACCCATTAAGAGAGGAAAGTGGTCTCTTTTTATGGGACACTTTTGTAGGAAAAGACGAGTGTTATGTAGTAAGCACATTGAAACAGTGGCATTGCAGGATGGGTCATAATAACTACACAGATTTAAGTCATTTGGAGCAACATGTTGAAGGCATGAAGATTAGTGATTTTAAAATTGAGAATTGTGAAACTTGTGAGTTGAATAAAGCAAAAAGAAGCCAGTCCCAAAAGATTTTTATACCTGGGCAACCAGGACACTAGATTTTGTTCACACAGATATTTTAGGTCCTATCGACCCGCTAGCAGAGGATGGACATAGATATGCTATAGGTTTTGCGGACAGTTTTTCTAGATATCTGAAAATTTATTTAATGAAGACGAGAGATGAGGCAACAGAAAAGTTGGAAAGGTTCATTGCAGACATAGGAGTCCCTCAGACTTTAGTTTCAGACGGCGCAGGAGAGTACATTGGTCAAGATTTTAGGCGAGTTTGTAGGAAACAAAAAATAAGACTGGAAACATCGGCTCCTTATACCCCTCAAGAGAACGGAAAGATAGAAAGGTTGTGGGGAACAATTACTCCAATGGCTCGCTGCATAATTTTTGATGCAAATTCATCGAAAACTTATTGGCCTTATGCTCTTAATATGGCTGCTAATCTCAAAAATATGTGATTTCATTCTGCTATAGGCAAAACACCCTACGAGTCAATGTATGGAGAAAAACCCAACCTTAATTTTGTGAAAACTTTTTTATGTGTAGCGTATAGTTTTGTGGAAAAACAGCTTCGCAAAAAACTAGACAAAAACTCTAGAAGGGGAATTTTTCTGGGGACATCGGAAAATAGTAAAGCTTATCTGATAAGAATTGAGAGTGAAGGAAAGTTCAAAGTGCAAAAGTCTAGAAACGTTAGTTTTGACGAATCTAAGTTCTACTTTGAGAAAAAGATAGAAAATGACGAAGGAGAAAGAGTAGGTGATGTAGTATTTTTTGGAGAAGTTCTCGAAAATATACTGAAAAGTGCTAAGGAAGCTTTAGCAGACCCTGACTGGCAAGAAGCAATGAAAAAAGAGTTTGAATCATTAGAGAAAAACAAAGTTTGGGAACTAGTTAGAAGTAGAGGAGAGAAGCCTATAGGCAGCAGATGGCATTTTGCTTTGAAGTACGGACCTAATGGTGAAATTTCCAGGTTTAAGGCTAGGTTTGTTGCTAAAGGTTTTAGCCAAGTTGAGGGAAGGGATTTTCACGAAACGTATTCGCCTACAGCTAAGATGTCGACCATAAGAATAGTCCTGAGCTTAGCAGTTCAAAATAGGTATCAGTTGAGAAAGTTAGACATTAAAACTGCATACTTGAATGCCAAACTAGATGAAGAACTTCTTATGAACAAACCTGAAGGGTTCGAGAAGTTTGATGAAGAAGGAAAACCTTTAGTTTGTCTTCTGAAGAAAAGTCTTTATGGACTGAAGCAGTCCGGTAGAAACTGGCATAGGACTCTAAAAAGCTATCTTGAGGAATTAGGTTTTGAAAAATCAGCTTTTGATGAGTGCTTGTTTGTTAGGAGGATTGAGGGAGTGATAGAAGGTTTAATTTGCTTGTTGGTCGATTATATAGTGGTTTGTGGAGCAGACAAAAATTTCTGTAGCTGGTTTGAAAGCAATATCTCTGAAAAATTTGAGATAAGCGAGATAGGTGAGCTTAAATGGTTCTTAGGAATGAAAATTGATTACTCAGGAAACAAAATTAGCATAAGCCAGGAGAAATTTGTTGAAAAATT